GTGATATTCTTTTTCATCACTATGGTTTGGATCTGGGCTTGGATATGGGCTGGTTATAGGAGACTGACAACTAATTCGTGACGAACAAAAAAAGCTAATCTGTGACGGTCCATCTTGGTCCAACAAATGTATGACGCGGGATACATGACGTTTTTTTTATCGTCATCATGAGTTAATTGTGACGTATTTTCGCTTGTCTGTGACTAAAATAAACCGTCTTATAGAAGGGTATTTTTTGTACTGGCTGCTCATACCGCTCGTGGAGCGGCACGTCGTAGGGCTTCTGCACCACGAACTGCGATTCGCTCAGCTTGACACGGCTGAAGCCGGTGGTCAGGTGGCGAGAAGAGCCGGCGTTGGTGGCGTAGGGCAACGATAGCACCGCCACCACCAGCAGCAGCAACAGCAGAGAGCACGAACTAGAAGAAGAACCTGCCGCCATGTCTCATCTCGTCTGTCTATTTAACTGGTCGATCGGCTGCCTGGTCGATCAGTGTCAGTGTACACTAGCCATGATTACCACGAGGCCGATCGCGTGTCGTGTGCACGGCGACGGGGACGGTGGCCGGCGGGCGGGCGGAGGCGCCACGCGCGCCAAAGACAGCTAGCGATATCAAGCGCTTGCTTCGAAACTCCAAGTTGCAGGAAGGAGATCTCAAGAGGAGTCGTGGATTCGTCCAACACAACATACTCTGTTTGGCTCGTTTGCCACCGCACTGAATCTCTGACGACCATGCTGTCATCAGTAACTTTTTTTTAAGGGGACCCTGTCATCAGTAATCTGGTTGATGGCGGCGATTCACAGGCTCACGGCCCACATGCAGCGAGTGTGCTCACGAGAGTGGATTCACCGTCTGCATGTGTGGCCGTACAGCATATCGTGGCCGTCCAAATGTCCCAGCTGCATCAAAATTCGTGCTCGCGTGTAAATCAACTTACTAAACCATTAGATTCAATAACACCCTAAACTCTAAAACCTAAACCATAAACTATAAACCCTAATCCTTAAACTCTAAACCTCCTAAACCTTAAACTCTAAACCCTAAACCCAATACAACAGAGTGCCAGCAGCATAGGAATGTAGCCGCATCAAGATTCGTGTCGCAGGCTGTATGGACGGTGGAGATAGCCCGTGCGGCCACGTACACAAGCAGCGAGGCTTTTCAATTCCCGTGTGCTCACGTCTGATTCACGGCCCACGACGCGCATGCTCTGCTCCCAAGGCCCAGACCAAAATTGCGTGGGGGCTCCTGGGCTCTTGAGTGAGCATGACAAAAACTTCCGTCTTTTTAACATTTTTGTATGAGCACCACTAATACTAATAGGAAGGCCGGACGCCTCGCTCCACTCACTACCGCATACGTCACTTGTCTAATAAAAAAAAATCAAATCCCCACAGAAGCTCTTCTCCCCCACTCCGCGCTCGTGTGTCGCGGCTTCACGGCACCGTGTACGGACGTCCGACCATCCCAATCCACCGCGCCACCGCCGTCATCCCCCACGGCGCACCCCATCCCCGTGTCTCATCCCCGTAGCACCTCTGTCTCCCACGGAGGAGGAATCCTCCGCATGAGGTACGCTACCAGCCGCCCCACCGACTGCAGCTGCCGCCAGACCCGGTCGTCGGCACCTCGCCCTCCGCCTCCAAGCTCCATGTGCGTGCTCGCCAAGTGCAGCGGCGCCTCCATCCCCCGGTGCGTCGCCATGCTCTGTCCTTCGTCGCGCCCAGGCCCAGGCGGCCAGGAGAAGGGGGCGTCACTGGCCAGGCCCAGGCTAGGCGCAGGAGGTAACTGGCCACTGCCAGGCCGCGGCACCATCCTCGGCTACCGGCTCGCCGGAACCGACCATCCCCAGCTCTACGCTGCGTCATACGGAAGAAGGGTGAAAACTGCATGTTGCAAGCGTCTGTTTCAAGTGTTTCAGAGGTATGTTGCAAGTGTTTGATACGGATGTTGCAAAAGTAGATCGGGATGTTGCATATATTGCAATGGTTGTATACGTATGTTGCAAGCTCCTGTTCTCAATGTTTCATCTATTTTTTTTGACGTATGTTGCAAGTGTGTTTATTTAGATATTGCATATGTTTTCACACAAATGATGCAAGTGTTTTATCTTGATGTCGCGTATGTTTACAATGGTTTCAAGTATTTCAGACGCATGTTTCAAATGTTTTATTTGTTTTTGACGTAAGTTGCAATTGTTGCATCTGGATGTTTCAAAACTAGGTCGAGTATTGCATCTCTCTCGCCTTTCTGCTGTCTCGCCTCGTTGTCAGGCGCAGGAAGACAGAGGCAGCCCCCACCGGTACAAGCGGGCCTCACGTGCTTGCGAGCGGGCGCAACAGGCGAGATGTGGGCGGGCAAGTGCAGGACACAAGAGGGGGGGTAGCGTCCGGACGTCCGGGTGCTAGCCATGTCCAAAATGTTCCGTAAGGTCCCCTCTCCCACTTGTGGAGTCGTAAAAACCTTCACACAAAACGTTTAGAAGTTTTCCCCCAAAAGTCAGAATGTAGAGAAGATGATGATTTACATGCTTACAAAATTACTCGGCCAAAGTTGACTTCTTTTATCAGAAAAGAAATTTAGAGAAAGAGCAAAAAGAGAGGGCAGAAATAACAAGATAGTACTCGCAAACGGCGGAGCCAGGGGGGCTCTATAGTTTCTACAACATTTCATGATAATCTACATTGACAAGGATATTACAATTGTGTTTGAAACAGATACACTTACTGACGATTTCTATGATATATATGGCATAGTAATAATAAAATGAAAAGGGTTAGTTCCTAGAATACTTTTATGTGATGAAAATATGAAATCACGATTCGGCGTATTACATTTTGTAAAGTATATAATTAATCTTCATTTTCATTGCCAGTTCGATTATAACGATCCGTTAATTGCACTTGGCTGCCCCCTCCCCTCACTACTGTGTTTGGCAATTTTATATCTCACGGATAAAATTGAGTTTGGCCTTAAATTTTGTGTGCTCATACTTGAGTTTGGCCTTAAATTTTGTGTGCTCATACATCATCACTTCTTCCTGTTGATTGTCCTTAACGTCAATCATAAACCATCAATATACCTGCATTTATCGTTTAATTCAATCACCAATATAGGTGTAGTCGTTTAAACTAAGTATTTTGACGAGTTTTGGTGATTCTATGAATACAGGAGGGTTTATCTATAAAACAGACCAAGTGGGCCATGCTATCTCAACAAATCAATTTTATCCACAACGAAACCAACTCTACTTGGCTCTAATCCACCGTCCAAGAGTTACCGACAAAGATCGACGAAAAAGGATCTAGGGGGGTCGGCCAACCCCACCTATAGGTCGGCCGACCCCCTGGCCCCACCATTCGCCACACCGCGATACGGGGATCCTCCACCGCCTTCAAGAATCAATCTCCACCATGCATTCAAGTCGGTTAGGAACGGAGAGTCAAGATGGAGCCCTGCCATGTATTCATGGGCCCATAGGGCGCCAGGTGCCCCCTATAAAAGGACCCCCAGACCTTCTCCAGAAGGAAGCTCATAGTTTAGAAGAGAGCCATAGACAATTTAGTAGAGAAGAGAAGATCTCCAGAGTTTTAGTATAGTCTAGCTAAAGTGAGATTCAAGTAGAGTCGGGCTTCTCTTCAGGGTTCCGGATTCGTCTCTAGAGGCTTGGTATAGCCATTATATCCTTTATATTTTATATCTTATTATGACTCTGGTCTTAATATATATTATGTTTTTATCTATCATGTTTTTAGTTTACTTTGGGTATATGCTTGATAGAGTCACAGTTATCTTTAAGTTTATGCATAGGATCACAGAGCGCTTGACTAAGTACTCGAGTGGGTTGAGTAGCCGGACTTTGTGTGAGTGTGGCGCTTATACTTTGTTTTGCCTGTGGATGCACCCTCCATTCCGGGACGTGTGGTAGATCGCGAGAGTGATTGTCTCGTTGATCCCTTATAGTTTATCCCCCATCTGTAGGACTAGTAGCACACGTGTCACGAGGGAGGAAGATATATTTCTTTTATGCTCCTCCTTAAAGATATCCCTTATGCATAGATGGAGAGTTAACCATATACTATAAGTGTATATGCCTTTGTATGCTTTGACATGTTGATTAGAGCATCTCCAAGAGCCTTTCTAAATCTCACTCTCTAAATCATCATTCGGAGAGTCATTTGCACAAAAATCGTTTTCTACATTATTTTACCCTCCAATAGTTTTTTATATCCTGTGTGCACTCTAGAGTCATTCTCATCTTCTATTTGGATAACCATTTAGAAAAGCTGTTGGAGGGTAGTTTTTCACCAAAATCTCTATTCCTAGTATTTAGGAAGGATTTAGAGAGTCTCTTACAGGTGCTCTTAGAAAGCTGAAGAAGGAAGACGTAAAGTGTGCAAAACATAGAGGTTAGAAGAATCTCTACGCCGATGACCAGTCCCAATCACACTCCCACTAGTACGGTCCTGAATAAAACATGATGAATCATCAAATCCAACAAAGCAGTTCATAGCAAATTCATAGATAATTGAGGGACCAAACATATATCAGGTACATAAAAATGAGGAGAGGAAAACGTGCCCTCGTGAGTAACATGACAAGAAATACCATCGGCTGTGTGGATAGTAGTGCCATCAAGTTGCTTCCAGTCAACCAATTGAGTCTTGTTTGATGTTACATGAAAAGAAGCTCATGAATCCAAAACCCAAGACTGAGGAGCAATGTTGTGAGAGGCAGCAGCTATGGAGATGGGTCCAGTAGCCATTATTCTGAATTCCAAACAGAGCAGACTCCTGTGTTCCTTTTGCTTGCCAATCGAACGGATGAGGAAGGCAGGCAACACCAGCAGACCATGTTATCTGGAGGAATCTCCAAGTTATCTGCAGAACAGAGTACCAAGAAGCAGCAAACAGAGCACCAGCATGTCCAGCACCACTCTGAAGAACAGAGTACCAAGTAGCAGTCTCAGACCAACACAGGACAGAGCACCAGGCGAAAATGGACACTGCAGAACTCCCAAACAGCAAAACAGAGCACAACCTCCAAATCAGAGCACAGCAGGAGCACACCACCACAGCAACGGAACAGAGCACCACACGCAGGCACACGAACAGAAGTGGAGTGCACGCACGGACGGAGGAACTGGAGGAGGGCGCGCAAGGACGGAGGCCGCGACCCCCCACAGATGACTCCGTGCGGAAAAGAAAGGCCGCCCGGGTGGATGGTGCCGCGACGGGCTGCGCCGGCGGATGGTGCACCGACTCCCTTGACGAGCGGCCTGGTTCCGCGAGCGTGAAGATGCGAGCGGACGACGATGACACGCGGATGGCGCGGCGACGGGCCGAGTTGATGATGCGGCAACAGGCCGCAGATCACAACGACCGGGACAATGACGAGTAGAAACAAATAAGAAATCCCAAGGAGAGGGGGAAAGTGTATCTTGGGTGGATCAGAATAGGCTAATCCTATCCCTAATTTATGGCTTTGGTACCATGTTAGTAACCTTGAGTATTTGAGAAGATAGATACATTCTCCAGTAAATGGAGATGACTATATATAGAGAGCGTCACAGTAGATGGGCCTTAACATCTCTCTTGATTGTTACGTAGTCTAGCTATGCTGCATTTATATATCTCTTTCTCTGGTATGTCATGAGTTTATTATATAGGGTAAAGTACACTTTCCAACCCTCAACTTGTGTCGAAGTTCAATTTTCAACCTTTAAGTACGAAACTGGTTAAGAAATGCTCTCCAACTATCAAAACCGGACAAATTTGGTCATCGGCTGGTTTCAAATGCGGTTTTATATTTTCTAGAGGCGCCAAAATTTTATATTACTTTTTTAAGCATCTTAATGCCCTCGCATAAAAAAACTCAAATGTACAAAGTTGTAAATCTCATTGGGAGCTACAACTTTGCTATAAAACGTATTTTCATTTAACTCCATACAAATAATATATTAGTGCTCTCATCAATTGAAAAGCGCCTAGTAAGCGATTATTATGATCTTTGAAATTTTATATTTATTTTTTAGAGCATCTTTACTGTCCTCAAATGAAAAAAATTAAAACTATAAAGTTGTAGATCTAATCGAGGTCTACAATTTACAGTTTATAAAATTATCTTCATCCAACATAGAAGATATTGAAAGTTTTCTATTTTTGAAATTTGAGTCTCCCATACAATATTGTTTTGTTGCGTACTACTTAAATTTCAAAAATGAAAAATGCGTTAGAGAACTAATATATTATTTGTATGGAGTTAAATACAAATACTTTTTTTATACCAAAGTAGTTTCCATGAGATCTACAATTTTGTAGTTTTGAGTTTTTTATTTGAGGACGCGTTAAGATGCTAAAAAAATAATATAAATTTCGGCGCCTCCCGAAAATAGAAAACCGCTTTTGAAACCAGCCGAGGACGAAATTTGTCCGGTTTTGATAGTTGGAGGGTGTTTCTTAATTGGTTTCGTAGTTGAAGGTTGAAAATCGAACTTCGGCACAAGTTGAGGGTTGGAAAGTGTACTTTACCCTGTTATATAAATATCTTTTGGCTTACCCCTGTTTAGAGTAAGTGTTTAGTTATTAATTTTATCATAAGTGTATATATTTGTCAATCTCTTCACTGTCATAGCTCCTCCCTGTGATAAAAAATATAAATAATGCAATGGTATACTTTGCGTTTGCAGAATTCCTATCTTCTAAACTCACATTAATAAATAACAACACTTTCTCTACATGTGTTACTTTTTTTTTAAACTTCTAAACATGTTTGAGAGGCAATTTTCTGATTCTACCTGCAAGTGAGCAAAATCAAATCTTATACAATGTTGATATCTGTTGAGAATTATTTAGTGATGATCAATTAGGGGATACACTACTACACTAGCACTTTTCACAGCCGCATCGTAACCCACATCGCAGTCTAATTTTGACCTCGGTAGTAAGCTGTCGACAGTGATGGTCATAGCCTTCACCGTCGGCATCTGGGACCGACTGCGGTGTACACTAACACCACCGATTGGCTTACGATCCGTTCGTGATTAGGTCCTTACTTCCCTCGCATTGGAGCATGACCTGGCTGTGGATGTACATTAACACCGCCGCATTGACAAATGATCCGCCTGTGTCGAGGCTATCAAAACCATCGTGTGGGCACATCAACCGCCTGTGTAGTGGTCACCAATACCATCGCCTTGTACTTCGACCCGACTGTCAGCAGTGCGGGTTCACTGTCGGTTCGATGGCCGAGACGCCTGTGTAGAGGTTAACACCACCATCGCTTTAGCGAATGATCCGCCAGTACAAAGGTCATGGTCACCTTCGCTTTGCACCACGATCCGCCTTTGATGATCGTTTAGTCAGTATCGGGTTACTAAAGGATTTGACGGTGATATACTTTTGATCCCTACCTGTTGACATTCCTTAGCGTCGTTACTAAAAACAGAGTTGAATCTAGTCTCCGGCAACGGCGTCAAAAATGTTTATTGGTATTTATTAACTTGTCACTTGTTTTAGTAGCCACCTATTAATTACCTACATCTTCTAACATTACTTTACTAGGTTGTCATCCCTAGTGATGGTGTTAGAGATGCTTGTTGGTACTGCCTAGCATCACTATTAGAATGATACTAAGTAGTTCTTTATCATTTTATGTGACTAGAAAGAATATAAAGATATATGAAAGAAAAGGAATCTGCAAGCGCACAGAGAATTATACCATTATAGCACTTCATCCGAGAGTATTCCAGGTATCGTTATTTATATTTTTACCACAGGGAAGGTCTAGCATGGACAAGTATTGATAACTTATACTATTAATGGAGAAGTAAACCATAGCCAATATTCTACTCATAACTGGGGTAAGTCATACGATAAGATATATATATTTATGATAAATATTGCTCATCAATAATGATAAATCACTCAGAGTACTCCTTTCTATGGCATTAGCATGGTCAGGTAGAATATTAGAGAAATAATTCCTCGGTCATTCTTAATTATAAGTCAAAGCATACATTGATTAGTGCAATTACACCTAGTAATCATGGCTAAGATCATCTTTATATCTACACATAAGGGATATTACTAAGGAAGATTAAGAACATAGCTTGTCTTCCTTTATAACTAGGTCCTACTTGTTTACCTATATTCGGGGAGTGGACTACAAAGGACTCAGTGGGAGTGTCACATCTGTGATCTACCACATGGTCCGAAATATAAGGTGTATCCATAGGTAAACAACATATAAGCACCATGCTTACACAATATCGACCACTCACCCCGTGTACTTTGGAGCGAGCGCTTTGCAAACTTGTGCCTGAATATAATGATAAACTAGCTATACTAAGTATATAATCAAAGTAGACGATGAACATTATAACAAAGAACATGAATAAGATGAATACTAATATTGTCATAACAATTATAGCAATCATATAAAAATAATGGAGATACAAAAGCGAGAGGGTACAAGGATTATACCAAACCACGCTCTTAACAAGATCGGGAATCCAAGTGAAGCCTGCTTGCCTCCCCCTAGATCTAACCTAACTAGCTATGCCCTAGAATATGGTGAAGCTCTGAGGATGATTAGGGTTTCTGTCTTCTCAAATGACTTGATGACTGGGGTTATGCCTGGGGGTGGCAGGGGCTGGTATATATAGGCCGGAGCGTCCAACATGAGCCCTTGGATCAAACCGACTTAAGGAACAGCGTAGATGCAACCTACGAGGCGGTGGAGAACCGATATTGCGACACGGAGGCTGACAGTGGACCCTAGGACCCGGGCGGCCTGTAGGTGGGGCCGGGTGGCCCCACCTGGTAGCCTCTACTTCTCTGCCTCGGCGTGGTATCCTCTGGTGTCCTCTAGAACCTTCTAGTGTCCGTTTCACGATGAATAAGCGCAATTAAATCTGACATGTAGGTCCATCTTGATGGTTTTCTGGTTAAACCCTGCAGAAAATACAGATTCATCAAAACTCATGAAATTTATTAGTTATCATACATATTTAACCGTTAATTAAACATGTATAAGGGCATAAATGAATCACCAATGTAGACTTAGGGGTTTAAACTAACAAATTCCATGAGTTTTGGTGAATCTGTGTTTCTAGCAGGATTTAATCAGAAATCCACCAAGAAGGACCCAATCATCAAAGGAAAACACGGAATCCCGCCGCGGTACCTACGTGGGAAGACTCTAAAAGGATCTAGGAGCCACGTCACTGAAGCAGAGGACTAGAGGATGACATGTGGGGCTGCCCGGCCCCACTGTTAGGCCACCCGGCCCCCTGTGGGCCCACCTATCAGCCTTGTCGCTATGTCAATTTTCCACCGCCTCCTAGGATGCATCTCCACCGTTGCTTAAGTCGGTTTGATCCAAGGGCTCACGTTGGACCCTTAGTGCTATATAATCCAGCCCCTACCTCTTCCCCCAAGCATAATGCTCATTTGATCCTAAGAGTTGAGAAGCCAGGAACCCTAATTCATATGTCCACCAGGATCAGAGATAGCAACCAAGAGAAGATTAGTCCTCCATTGGATCCAGTCTAGTTCTAGAAATAGGGAGATAGAGTGTGAGGGAAGAGTTCTGAAGGAGTCCCGGCCTGTAGGTGCTCTCTCTATGGCTTGTACCTAGCGAAATCAAGTTCTTCTTGAGCTTGCTTCTGTGATTTCTCTGGTAATCGACTTCTAATTCAAGTAAGCATCTTGTTCATATTGTTCTTCATGTTTGCGACTCTCTTTTGAGTACTTTAATCCTTGTAGCTCCTGGATTAAAGTAGTATTTATAGTGTAAGCGTGGTGCTTAGACTCGATTACTCATAGATGTACCCTATTTTCGGATCGGTGGTAGCTCGCGAGGGTGACTTTTATAGCCTCGTTGAATCCTCTATAGTCCACCTCCCGTTAATAGGACTAGCAGGACAGTATTGCTATAGGAAACATACTCTGTCTGTGTTTTCTCTAGTATTATCCCCATAATTGAATAATAGAAGACAAAGCTTATCGAAGTTAGAACTAGAAGACCTTAATAGTCTCCTCTACGCTCCTATTATCTAGCCTTGATTGTGAAGCTGGGATAAGTTAGAATTGGTTATTCTCACACATGTTTCCTTGAGTTCGATATAAAACTAGGTACTCCCAGTAAAGTGCTACATCGGTATAATATCCGTGCGCTTGTGAACTATTCTGTGTGCATTAATTTATACAAAGAAAGATGAATACTAATATTGTCATAATAATTGTAGCAAGCATATAAAAATAATTGTAGCAAGCATATAAAAATAATTGTAGCAAGCATATAAAAATATTGTCATAATGAAAACCGTTTCATGGCCCGTTATTACGGCCTATGTAATTCTGCCTCATACCCCACTGTAGCACCGTGGAGTGGGGATC